ACGCTACCTACATCTATTATGACGTCACAATGAACTTTATGCTTTTGACGTTACCAGGTAACCTACCTGACATTTGTATAACTGCCTGAAGAGCCGAACATGGCGAAAGCGCTTGCAGTAAATGTTTTGTGATATTTTTGGATTTTTACTTTTAAATATATATATATATATATATATATATATATATATATATATATATATATATATATATATATATATATATATATATATATATATATATATACACACCGTGTCAAACCGTTACCTTGACGGGGTCGCGAAAAAAGCATTTTAGCCAACAGGTCTCTTGATAAGTTATTTTTATTTTGCTCCCTAAAATTTTCAACTCTTATCCTCCATAAATCCACAAGCTAGGGGCCATTATTCTACGGGTATGATTTTTCTTTAACTATGATATGCAGATTTTAGGGTGAAGACACTTTTACTAAGGGCAAATGGGTCATTTTGCCGTTGAATGAGTGGGGTTAATGTCAACTGTTAAAAACGGAAGTCCAGTCATTATTCTGTGGGGATCAGTGTTCGTCTTTTTGAAGTAGTGTAAGTATGAATGTATAAATATTTTATGCCAATTGAAAACTGAAGAACATGCAGCCGAAGTAAACTATGGCTCATTGTTCTTCATTGCACTTTCCACATCTTCCTTAATCGTATTATTTCATGAATAAAGATTAAATACTGCTTTCCATTTGTCAATAAAAATGAAATAGATTTCTAAAACAGCTCTTTTTATGAAGGTGTACAGAATCCAACACGATAAATTTATTCTGAAATGTAAGCAGGTTATGTCATTTTATCTAAGGAATGATGTTGTATTCTGGTCACAAAATTATTTTGAGTGACATACATATCTTTTGACTTACATATCTTCCAAAGGAATTTATCAAACAACAGTGAATAAATTTTAAAAAATTGATAAACTTCTAAGTATTAGGATCGTTGTTCTTTCGTCATTTGTACCATCATGGATTTAGTCATGATGTGCAGGAACTCAGCGAAAAGGTAATGACTGATATTTGTCGGTTTTGCCCCTTTGTAAAAACATAGGTGGGGCCACGACCATTTAAATTCAACAACACTTCCGGTAGCTAGCATGTAAACACGTCAAATCTGTGCAACTGTCAATGGTATATCGATGTTTTCCAGGATTCCCTAAGTGTTTAAGCTGTTGTAAATTAAGCTTTCCTGTAGATAAAAAGCCGGAGAAACGTTAGGTATCAGCCATACATAGATTCGATTATGAATTTCACTACAAAAACCTCAATGTCCTCAGTCACACTGGGTAGTGTGCCACATACCTATACTGTGATAGTATTTCTGAGACCAAAAACACATCAAGTCAAAATTTCAAATTCACGTAACATGTTTTTATATCAATAAATTTATAATTTTCTTGACCATTTTTAGGACCAGTATAATTAAATATGTTGTGAATTTGAATTGCTGTAAACAATCATGACAGTTAAAAAAAACCATGGATCTAAATGTTGAACATATGGGACTTGAAAGACTATATAATATGGCTTTGAAAATTTGTTACAATATTTTAAGTGTATGATTTGTAGTTCAGCACATTGCAAATTTTAGTTGTTTTTACACAGATCATATTATAATAAAACAATAATATACAATATAACTGTTATCAATAATTATTTGAAAAGTTTTTATTGGGTCCTGAATGGGTAATTTAACTTTGCAGGATGAAAATCTAGGTCATATAAAGTAAAGGTTTTGAAAATTACTTTTATGTTTGGCTACTAATGTAATATACAGCATGATCATATACATAAATGCATCTTCATGGGAACATCAATCTGATTAAAATCAGATTTTTGTTAGGCTCTGAATTTCTGATGGTCACTGTACAATCTTCTATTTATACAGCGACCATTATAATTAGCATTTTGGAGTGTAACAAAGATCTGATTTTAATCAGATTGGGGCACATAATACACACTCTGATTTAGAATTTCTGCGGTAATAATTTTTGTTATATTTGTATAAATATAAAGTAGGAATTACTTCGCTGTTGTTTGTTTTCCAAACACCAACAAAATTTTAAATACTTTCAAGAGTGACACTGAGTAACAATTGGGTAAGAATGTTTCAATTAAGGAATATAAATAATTATTTCCTTATGTTAACAATTCTAAGTGATAAAGGGTAATCTTTATAAAGTTGGTTGTAAGAATCAGAGGAATATTGCAATAGATAAAGGGACTTTTAAAGATGTCCTTGTCAATATCTTCATAAGTAACACTAGGTCTGAAAAATCTTGGCACCTTCACTTCTCTCTTTCTCTCTCAACATGATTATTACCAAAGTTTTTTTTGTTTCTATTATATGCTTTAGCTCAGAAAATGTAAACCAATTTTCTTTTCGTTCTTCTTCTTATTTTTTTTTTACTTTAAACTAGGCGGGCAAAATATTATGCAACAACGGACGGACATCCCGATTACTATATACCCTCCCACTTTTCAAGCAGGGGGTAAAACAAGATACAATGACAATGCAACTAAATATTACCTACAGTGTCTAGGAATGTTTTGTATAACGATATAAATATTAATTCTTTAGTTCATCAAATATAAACATTTTTATAATTCAGTGGAAAGAATGTGGTACCTTTGAAATTCTTATTAAAGTTATAAAACGTTGAATTGCCCTTTAGAAAATCTCATTACAATAAAAAGTGACTAGTATATGTACGAAATACATTTTAGATATATTAACATGACCTTAAAGAAATTTCGTTACTAATGAAAACAAAATACGAATACTTACAAAAGATCTGTTTCATTTTCTAATACAACAGAGCATTTCTTGGCCCAACTCTTGGCGGCATTCTCGTTTACAAAATTGGATTTGATTGGGCTGCTACATGCATTGCAGGGCTGAATGCGTGTACAGTAAGTATATTGTTTGATGAGTGATAATTAAAATAAGTTAATTCGTATTCGGGAATGAGGCAAATGAAGTTCGTATTCGAATGTTTAAGTGCTGAAATGAATAAATTTTCTTTATAATTATATCCCATTGCTTGAAAGGAATGCAAGAAAGTTAGTGAGTCGGTTACTGAGTATTGTACATGTACATGTACTAGTTTTGCTCAAACGTATGAAGTAAAAGTGTTCTCATGAAAGATGCAAAATATATATACAAAATTGCAGATTTGCATAATGTATTTTCATTCACCTTATTTGTCAAACTTGGATAATTTTCTCGGCTGTCAAACTCACCCGTCATTACACTGGAGATACTGGTACAAATGAACTGAGCTTAAAAAAAATACATGAATGCTGCGGTTTGATTTCAAGGCCACCATTGTGATCTTGTTAGGAATATATCGGAACAACAGGGACTGTGGAAAACGACAGGGATATCAGTCACTACAAGACCCATCTCCACCTATCACGTTATGGCATTAACGGATAAAAAATGTTCAAATATTTTAACAAGAAATTCATAAACAATACAAGAAAAAATGTTTGTTATGTTTTTTTTCATGTTCATGGCATTAAAGAATTTCTTTTGAATTTCACTACATACTTTCGGAAGAGACTGAAACCCGTAGATAAGTGTTTGCCTGAAAAGGTACAGGTAATTCTTTTGTGCCTCTTTAACTAGAATGACAATAGTTATTTTATAAAATACATACACTTGATAGAAAAAAATTACGATTTCTTTTGTTGCCTAGATAAAAATTAAGAATTCTAAACTTTAAAACTATAGAACAACACCAATCACAATGAAAAAAGGATGATTTGTCTAAAACATAAAATGTATGAGGAGTTATGTGTACTGGATTTTTGTAGGAAAAAACTTTGTTTTTTTAACCCAATATGAAAAAGAATTTAGTAACATAAAAGCACATCTAAAGGAACTTCCAATCATATGCCCAAGAAACTATCTTGGTATTATATAAATTTTAAGAGAAGTTCTGTTATCCAGGTTTTTGTAGAAAAGAGTTAACTGGCCATAATCGGCCTTAAGGATAAGAAAGGAAAGTCCAAATCCTTATTGAACGTCTTATAGAAATCTCTCATCATACTTTATATAGAAAAAAATAATTGGCTACCTCTTAAAATGAAAGAGAAGTTTGAGGAAGAAGTTCGTATTACAGAAGAAAATGTGGGTATAACAAACAAAACAGACACATTGTATGTTTGTCTTAAACACCCAACAATTTAACTAAAATAATTTAGAGTTTTAGAATTTTGATACATTAGTTCCAATTTCTAAATTTCCAAACTCGCGGACCATTGTACCATTCTCCAATCTCGTATCTATTCCACTATTTTCTCTAATGCTATTTGCAAAGATTAATTACAGTGTGTATCTTATTTTTTCAAACATACAAGTTATTATTTTTTTTTGGTAAATACATAAGATTACTGAGTACTTAGATTTTTAGATAAATTTATTAATTTCCTTGACTAAGTTTCATATCATATATAATATGAAATTAATTGTTAATATAACTTAGTTAGTTTAAATACGGTATTAGCAGAAAAATAAGAAGAAATGCATCAAGAATAACTTTTGTTGCCCATCGTGGCTCCCGCTATCTTCATTTTGAATCTATTAATTTCTTATTTTGCAGCAAACTAGGCAATATACTTTACATATGCTTAAAAAAAATATTGCTCTCCACTTCATTCTGCATAAAAATGAAAACAAAGGTAAAGAAACATACATAATTAACTGCTAAGTAACAAACTAAATTAAAAAAAATTCAGCTACTTAAACTGTTTAACAATTCATTCTCTGTTATAAATATAGAAAGGGGAAAAAGTAAATAAAAATCTAATCGAAATCAGACAAATTCAAATTAACCATAGAACTATCATAAAAATAAAATATTTTTGGTTTACCTGCAGTTTCTTAATATGCTTAGTACAAAATGGAAGAAACAGAATAAACACACTGTTTGGATGGCGTTTTTCATGCAATGAAATGCATATTTCATGAGATTTTCAAGCGTTTTTCATTTCATTTATGTGTAATTATTTTTACACAAATTTAATCCTTCCTTTTACATAATATAAATGCCAAGAAAAAAACTTTGAATGTAGATGGCAGTGGTTATAAATTATTTTTCTTTGTGTTATTGACTATTGTTTCGTATCCTTTGTTGGAACCTCTGTATTTTTTTTTCATTCCATGTCTTCAAAATTTCGAATGTTGCAATTAATATTACCTGCAAAAAGCAAATTTTTATCTTAATTTTATATTTTATAATGAATTTGAATCAAGACCTGCTCCAATATGCACACACGAAAAAATGTTTAGATTTTCAGTGTTGTTCTTTATTTTGATGTAAGGATTTCATAACTCTACCTCATTGCGCTATAGAGTTACTGTTTCATGTGATTTATGGCATGCATTGAAAACTTAAAAGATTGTAATTTAGCAACTTCCAGACTTACCGAGAGAGTTATTAATCCGGCACAAACTGTTGCTGACCAGTCAAAACCCAGTTTATCTGCCAAAGCCCCTCCTACCGTTGGCCCTATGAATGCTCTGAAAAAATTCAGTAAAAAACGGTAGTGATCTAACATGCATCTGAATTGATGTCAAATGCTGCTTTGATTTATATATATGCTTTTTGCGATGTTTTGCATACCTATGTTGTGCCCTTGTTCAAATAAGTTCAAATAACAGCCATTTACTCAAAACAAATAAGCATATGATTATGTCATTATAGGGTTTAAGAATTGTGTGTCAACCAAAATCAATTATGGTTTTTTGTGAAACTTACTTTTCATATTCTTTTCTTTCGAAGGAAGCTGGTATTAGTGCTATCAATTTGATTGTTTTTATTCTGCTTAAGTAAAAGAAGCTGGATAACCAAAATATTTTGATTCACAGTTTGTTGACAAATTAAATGAGTACAAATGCATAAGGGTATGCACAAGATCCTAGGCAAAATGTCATTTTGCATTATATATAAGGAATTTTCTTTGCTAATTGCCGTAAAAATACTTTCAATTACCCAAGTGAGAAGCAGGAATTAAAGAGTCCAGAGACCATACCATGAGTGTCCATATTTTCTTCCATTCCAAGCGCCCTTTCAAAAGTATGAAAACGAAATATATATTATATACTTTGAATTGATGCCAGCTATCTAGGACATTTATTTTTCAGTCTTAACATAATGAAAAAACAATATGTCTGCATATGAATAAAGATATTAGTAACAGTAGCACATGGTGTATTATTTCAAGAACTACATGGACACAAACTGTATACTGTACATAAGGAAACACAAAGAAAACATTTCAAGTATTGAATTATAATTCTGATCAAATTTATCTTTATGAAATTGGGACTTTTTATATAAAGACTTTTTCATTACACGATATCGTGAAGGTACCATGTTTCACATACTTGGCTGACTCTATTAATCCCCTAAATGTAGGAATAATGGCACATCCTAAACCAAGTCCCATAAGCATCAGTGATAAAATTATAGACCACAGTTTACTAGTAAGAAAAATCAAAGAATTAACATTGAAACATATTCATTCACAATGTATGGATTTAAGCAATATGAGTTGCATTTTTAAAAAAAAAATTTGCTGTTAAAATGTGTATTTATGATAAACTGTGTATGTAACTTAAACCTTTATAATCAATTAGACTAAAATAAAGCAGAAGAGAGACTTCTATATAAAATCCAATATACAGTTTTTCATAAAAAGAATCATTAATGTACAGGACGACAATAATATTTTGATTCAGCTTATAAATAGTTTTTCTATTCTATCGCAAATATGAACAACAGATGTTTATTAACGTTATGTTTGCTGTCATTGAATTTTTTAAAATACATTTTTGCAACAAAAAATTCAAAGTTGCAGCTCATATTTCTTTACAAAATATTTTACATTTGATCAAAGTGTTTTAGTGCTCGAAAATGACACTTTAAAGATTTCTTTCTTATTCTCAGAGAAATAATAAATCCATCCACTTGTACTTACAACGGTAAGTGATCTATTAATGGTGTTGGTCCCATTAGTAAATAACCAGCTGCACCAACTAAATTTCCAACTGCCATCATGCTCTTTACGTAGCCCTTGGTGAAACAAATATATATATATATCTGATAAACAGTTGGCTATCTTTTCAATTTTTTAAAGCACTAATATTCAAAATTTGTATGTCTGATCCAAATGGAAGTAACTCCCTCTAATGACATTCTATACTTAAGAAAACCTCTCTTTAACTGAAAACTTACGACTGAATGAAAAAAAAAATCAGGTAGCAATAATAGCTAGAAAGTGAAAAAAAGCAAGTGCAATTTAGCTTCTTTGAAATATCCAACTTCTCATACATACATGTATACACTGTATAAACAAATAAAAAATGTAAACATTTCCAAAAAGTAACTTGATTGTATAATTACTATACATAAAAAAGATATGAATTATTGTCAATAATCTATTATTATTGTTGCATTTTTAATCCTTTGACTTGAACGAAAATACAAACATAAGAAAACATTTAACTGAGTCAGTTTACTTAAAAAGGAAATTTTGAAAAGTTGGGATAAGTTGTTGTTACATTTGTCCCGACGTCTGAAAGTTTGTGATTTATGTCAATGAAACTCATTGAATATTGGAATTTAAAATTTTCATTTTTTATTTTTCGATATAATGCAATGTAAACAATATCTTTTATTTTCTAGGTGAGAGATCAGACAAGTTTAGCTTCTTTGAAATGTCCATTAGAATGTAACTTTTATTCCTTTGTTGATGGAACACACGGTGGGTGTGATCAGTCGGCAGAGGATGCTCACTCCTTCATGGCACCTGATACCACCTCTGATTTTTAGGAGGTCCCTGTTTGCTCTGCTCCTAGTTTGTACTGTTTTATGGGCGGGACTTTTGAGCTTGAATTCTCTTCTTTATCTCTTTATTTATTAAATGTATGGGTAGTCATAAAAATATATTCTATCAACTAATAATGATTCGAATTCCATGTAAGTTAGACATCATTTAATCGATTACTTACGAATTTATGGATCATTTTTATTTCATTAAGTTACCTATTTTCACGAATGTTGTTGCCTGTAGACTTTTGTATAATTTATAATAATTCACTGTTACCTGAGTTTTCGGTTGGCTTGTAAAATTGTGCTAATATGTAGTACGATGACTGAGATATTTTACCTTTTTGTCAATGATAAACCCCCATAGAGGGGCTGTGAAAGTGTAAATGCCACCACCTATCAAAAATACCAGTCCTATTAATGCTGTGTTATCCTTTAACTGAAATGAAAACAAATATTTAAAATTAAACCTATTTCAGAGACACTGAAAGAAACAAACTACAAAGAAAAAAATTAGTAGGACAATACCTCAGGTAATTTTTCCACATGCAACGCTAAAGTGGGATCAAGAAATGCTAAAGAAAAACTCCCAGCTGATAAACTTAGAGCAATGACCCAGGTAAATGGATTCCTTAGTAAAAATAGTATTGATTTTGACCTGGGTCTTGGGGAATCTGAAATATACCACAGATGTTTCTATTTGATATACCGATGTAATTATAATAATGTTTTCCAATATCAACATTAATGACTCATTTTAATTTAATTCAATTTAAACAAGAGGCCCATGGGCCACATCGCTCACCTGAGAAACTTTTGCCATGCTGTTTTTTATCAGATTTCCCCCATTTGTAATAGCAATTGTGACCAAGCCCTATCCCCAGGGGTAAAGATTTGGACAATTCATAATCTACACTACCCCAAGATTCACATAAGTTTCAGCTTTTCTAGCCCAATGATTCTTGAGAAGAAGATTTTCAAAGATTTTTCCATATATATTTCAATGTAAAACTTGGATTCCCTATTATGGCCCGCCCTACCCCCGGGGGCCATGAATTGGACAAGTTAGAATCTACATTATTCCTGGATGCTTCCACATAAGTTTCAGCTTTTCTGGCCCACTAGTTCTTGAGAGGAAGATTTTTAAAGTTATTTCCTATATATTTTTATGTAAAACTTGGATTCCCTAGTATGGCCCTGCCCTACCCCCTGGAGTCATGAAAAACAATTAGAATTTACACTATCCCAGGATGCTTCCACACAAGTTTCAGCTTTTCTGGCCCAGTGGTTCTTGAGAAGAAGATTTTTAAAGTTTTCTCCTATATATTTCTATGTAAAACTTGGATTCCCTATTGTGGCCCCTCCCTACCCCTGGGGGTCATGATTTGAACAATTTAGAATCTACACTACCCCAGAATGCTTCCTTATAAGTTTCAGCTTTTCTGGCCCAGTGGTTCTTGAGAAGAAGATTTTTTAATGACCCCACCCTATTTTTGTATTTTCTTGATTATCTCCCCTTGGAAAGGGATTTGGCCCTTGATTTTAACAATTTAAATTTCCCTTTACCCAAGGATGCTTTGTACCAAGTTTGGTTAAAATTGGCCGAACGGTTCTTGAGAAGAAGTTGAAAATGTAAAAAGTTTACAGACGGACGGACGGACAGCTAGACAGACAGACGGACGGACAACGGGTGATCAGAAAAGCTCACTTGAGCTTTCAGCTCAGGTGAGCTAAAAAAAAATAGGAAGATATGGTATAGCGTGCAAAATTAATAGAATTAACAGACATGCAGTTAAGGAACATTAATAAATGTTTTTTTCCTCATCAATTTTTCATCAACTAAATTTAAATAACGAATCGAATAACTAAATTAAGGCCCAAAAAATCTGTGGCAATGAAAATCAGACAAATAGAATGGTAGTGCAACAAAATCAAGTTATTCTGCACGTTACATTAAAGAATACAATAACGAACTTACCATCAATATGTCCTATAAGAAAGTACCCCAGCACTCCATTTATTACCGTTATAGATCCAACTATGAAAAATGGCAACCCAAATCCTCCCAACTGCAAAACAATTTATGATAAGTAATTAATATTTGCTAAATTCTTTTTAAAAACAGAAAACTGCAACCAAAAGAAAATCAACAGTGTGGGACTGGGCCCCCCGGGGGGGGGGGGGCAGGGACCATGAAATTCCCGATTTTTCTTTCCCTCATCCTATCCATACATTAATTGCTTTATGCTAAATTGATTGAAATTGGTTGAGCGGTTGCAGAGAAGAAGCTGAAAATGTTCAAATGTTAACGCACGGCGCACGATGCACGACGACGGACGAATGCAGATAGTTTAGTCAGATAACCAAACAAAGAGGTATAAGCAGCTAAAGACATTTATCTTACGTTAAACATATACAGTGGACCTTCAGATACCCGGACCCCAGATATCCGGATGCTTCAGTATCCGGACGCTTTCATCGGGACGGAATTTTTAAATGTTATATTGTTTTGTTTAACTGGTGATTCAGGTATTCGGACGTTTTACATATCCGAACAAATTGACTAGGAATCAAAGCGTCCGGATAAATGAAGCTCCACTGTATCTACATGTATTTCATGATTTGTTACTTTGACGTATCTGGATTCTTAAATGGAAAATGACATTTATTTTATTTTTGGTAATACATGTAGTTGTTAATACGTGTAATAAATGGTTAGACTCTCAAATGACCTTGAACACAGTAAATTATTACCTGGTAGAGAGCGCCACCTACAGCTGGTCCGGCAATCATCCCAAGTCCAGAGAACGTTTCTAAGACACCCTATATTGTACACATTTCTGATACATTATACAAAGAAACTAGAACATCATTATCTCCAATAATAAATAAACTGAAAATTTCTAGACTCTATGAAATTTCTGCTGGTAATGAAACCCAAGATAACAGGAAATGGCAAGTTAAATATCACAGGAATGTTATCACAAATTCAAAATATGTTCTACATCATAACATTATGTTCAGTTAATATACAGCAAAGGTTATTTCAAAAAAGTTTATATATTTTTTTTTCAATGACTGACTCACATTCAAAAAAAAAAAAAAAGGATGTTAAGATCGAATATATATACAAAATGCTTGTTTCCCTACCTTCAATGTATTTCTTTTTAATCAACTCAATAAAGTACACGTAATACTTACAAAAACTGTAGTAACATTGTCAGGAAACACACTTGCAATAATGGCAAAACTGGCCGTCACAAACATCGAACATCCTAAAGCCTCAACTGTTCGACAGAGAAAACACATAACAATATAGACAGTTCCATCTGGGCTTTTATCTAACACTCTGAAATAAAAAAAAGAAGATTTTTTTATCATTGTCTTCTTCCACTTTCCCAAACAAGATTTTATCTTTATTTAATCAGATAATTTGGCAAAAATTTTTACGGAATACTTTATTTAGAGTATACTAACCCAAATAATATACCGCAAATACCCCCAACCATTGTTCCTGAGAGATACATGAACTTTGATCCAACTTTTGTAATCTGTCAAATATTGAAAAACAAAGATTGCCAGAGGAATATTGATCATAGTCATTTACTATGTCGGTCTTAACGGATCCAAAGCCTTTATTTTTTAAAACAACAAGATACATGTACATTTTGATGTGGTCTTAATTTCATTGAAAAAAAAAGAAATAGTTTGAATGAAGAGGACATATTAAGTGTCACTATTATCTTCACAGCATATCATACAACATCTATTCTTTAAGTATATGTACTAGTAATTCATTTATAAGTTTAAATGAGAAATGATATCTTTCATGATAGATAATAAGATATTTAATTAAAAAATTTAAACTTGCGTAATTTCCTAGAACTGGAGACGATAAGAAGACAACAAATTCAAAAACTCCAAATATCATTCCAACCACAGTTTGTGAAGCTCCCTTCTTTTTAGCCTGAAATTAACTCTCTCTCAATTCAGTTTATTTCGAGTTAAAAATACTCTTGTAAAGAAATGTCATACACATGTACAGACCCATCAACTGTATTATTTCTTTTTTTACAATGTTTTAGCATTTGAATTATATCTAAAGGTTGTTAGTTACCTCTGCTGGAAAGAAGGGCGCCAGAAGAGCGAACCCCGTGACACTTAAGAAGTTCACCAATGCCATGGATGCCAAGAGAACTTTTCTTTGTTTTGGTATTTTTGAAAATGAAAACTCTTCATCTTTCTTTGTATCGATGCCGTTGTTAAGGCTTTCTTTTGTATACTGTATGGCGCCTAGAGAGTGACTTTTGAGGGGCTCTGCCTCGTTGTTTTCCATTGCCTGGGAAAAGCCGTAGAAGCTTAGAAGACTTTTCACGTTGTCCAAGGCGGTAAGCAATTTAGATATTTGTAAAAACTTAATGAACAAGTAATCAAGCCTTATGAATTCGATATCTTGAAAATCAATACCGGTATATAGCTAGAAGAGACCTTTTTGCTACATATTCTAATGAAATGCAAATAATGCTTACCATGTATTTTTTCAGAGATCAAAATAGCATGATCAGAGAGAGGTATATCTCCTCTCTGGGCATATCTGGTTCCCCCCTTGTATAGCAATAAGAACACTGGAAAGTTCAATCGAAAAAAACGCACCAAAAGGGAAAAGAATGATCCCCCTGAAATTAGCTTTTCGGGTGAAGGCACTTAATTGTCAGTTTGATTGTGCTTATATTTTTTTTCAATGTAGCCTCTCCCAAAACGTTGTTTTACGAACAATGGCCGAAGAGGAGCTGTATGACATACAATATGTCTTTAGTTTATCAATCCTCAACTTTCTTGACATATGAAGTAATATTCCATCATCAGCTTGTTATGGTGTTCATGTTTCTCAACGTTTTAGTTACTTAAGAGTATGCCCTCAGTTTGAACAATTTTAAAAGCGAGGATTGCTACTCACTAATAAGTTAATGTTACAAGGATTTCAACAACCTCTTTTAAAGGCATCATTTCGTAAATTCTTTGGCCGTTATAATAACCTTGTTAGCAAATATAACCTATCATAGGATCTTCTTTTTGGCAGACCTGTTTCATACCCATTGTTAGGCCTTTGTTCTTATACTGAATTTCACTACGGAAAAGTTCGTCTACCTGATCAAAACATAGGGTTCATGGCGAATGAGACTGGTCAACAGGGGATGCCCTCTACATGGCATCCGACCCCAAACTCTGCATTTTCAGAGGGTCTGTCTGTTACATGTATGTATGCCCTCTTCACGTATTGTTTAAAGATTTTCGGAGGCCAATCACCGTCCGTTATCTTCACCTTTCATATAAATATAAAATCACACAACATAGATGTCATCTAGTTATCACGTAAATAAAATGTATAATGGTTATATTGCTAGAGAAAACGCACCCACAAATCAAAACAATGCTCTGATCATGATTTACTTTTAACAAACAGTGTGCTGAAAACATTAATTATAAAATTTCTCGTAAGCGTTCAGTTCCTTCAGTAACTATTTAGATGACTAATTTGTTAAATGGAGATGAATAATATAGACTGTAAATTGATAAATTTTAATCTTTACTGATAAATAGCTGTTCAGCTAATGATGTTGTGAAATCATTATTTTACAAACACATTCACAAAGTGAGGTAGATAAAAAAAAGTCATGTTTGTTTAAGCAAGAGCATATTCGTACACACGTATCTGAACAAATCTCGTTTGATATAGAAGTTATCACATATATGAAAATATGCACATAAAAGAAATGCCTGTCTACGGATTTTTCAGCGATTGTAATGAAATTTATTAGGATTTACCTTGTTTTATTGAGTTCTCCTCCCAGCAGAGGTAAACATCGATGTGCTAATCTTGAGATATCCATATCACTGCATTTAATGTCTACCTGACCCAAATTCAATTGTTTTATTGACTTAAAAATGTAAGGATAATCAGCTCTCTATGAGGTAAGTAAAAAGCGGAAGGATATGTGTAAACCGCAATATCGCATCCATGTAAGTTTTCTCCCCAACTGTCATTAATTCTTTTAATAAAATCTAAAACGGTCAATTATAACACTTGATAAATACATGTATAACCCCTGGAATGCGTCAATGATCGCGATTGGTTAACATCGATTATCTTTCTTTTTCAGTGATATACAAAAATCCAAATTATTTCGTAGATATGTTTTAATGAACTAAACCTTTAAATGACCCCTAAATGCGATTTAATTTTCAAGTCATAGGACATGCTTTTTTGAAATAAAAAAAATCCTTACCTATCGACGTATGCACCTAGTGATTGGTTGTAGCTAAATCACGAATAGATATTTTCACCTGATCAGCTGTTTCATTAAGAAGTACTTAAGAGTATTCTACAAGTTAAATGTAGGAAAACGATCGTTAGATATTCTTTTTTAGTTATTCAGGGAAAGAGAATTTAAATTTGATATACCGTCAGCTTGTGGTATATTTACCTTCAGAATATCATACAGTTAGATACATTATTTATAAAAAATTTGGGGTGAAATTTCCTTAAATTCTATCTCTATTTTTGCTTCTGTATTTTATTTCTTTTAAGGGAGTTGGTCGATCTTTAGTTTTGATCTTATTGAATTTAAAGGAAGATAATCATCTTATACCGTCTCTGTATGATTAAAGTTTTTGATCCCTCACTGACCTGGAAAAATACACTTCAGTTACTCAAAATATTATCACATTAAAAAATGTAAAGAAGAAGTAAATTTAGGTCTTTCAATAAAAAGGTAAAATATATAGAAAAACAAACCTTACTAAAGATTTAGAGTCAATTCAAACGTGGGCCTCTAAAACTAAAATTAAGTGCCTTTGGGAGTGAGCATCCTCCTCCTCTCTCCAGTTTTCTCTGTCACGATCAGGAAAAACGGGAAAAATATAAACATTAGACAATTCACTGTGTAATTGTATAATTAACGGACAAACAATTAGTATGACAAAAAGTCAGTCAGCATTTTACTAAATCATGTAAATGATAGGTTGTACCTGCATGCTGACATAGCCAAAATGTTGCGGAGTAATGACTTCAAACGATACAGTTGATCCTTTTTTTCACCTCCTTGTCTGTCAAAAGTTTTGTTTTGTTTTAAGAAGTGTTCATAAATAGAGCAAACTGTGTATATGTATAGAATCGACTGAGAGAAATTAACCTATTAAGAAGGTAATAAGGCTATATTACTTCATAAGTAAGGAAAGTCGACGATTGAAAAGTTATACTTTTCGGTGTTTTTGGTAAAATTTTGAGATTTTAAATATGCTTTAAGTTTCGTAGAGATTTTAAATATCCACATCTGATTTATACCAGTATTCGAATTTACTATGGTACAGTACTCCTGAAGTTTCTAATTAACTGCTATAAGCATATACATGTAAGTAAGAAGCAAAGAAAGAGACTTGGTAGAACACTTACTGGATGTGTCTTTATTTCTTTGATTTTGATGGAGTTTTAGAATCTAGTATAGGTGTGGGGATTCAAAATTCATTCTGATAGTTTGGAGCATTAAAAATATTTTTAGTTAAATAAAGTTTATAAATGTAAATCTGGAATATTTTGAAGCAACTTATCTCAAGAATTGTGTAATTAATTTTTATTTGAAACAAATGCATCGGAACAAAATATCTTAGTTATACGATTAAATATTTAGTAGTTTTTATGAGCTTCAACTTTTATGTAAGTCTAAACCAAAAGGAGACTCGTTGAAATGTTCCACAGACTATGAATCTTGACTTTAAACCATAAATATAAATTTATCTTGCTCCAAATCAGGCTTATTGGGCTAGGTCATTCATGTTTTACATTTTACATGTATACAAAGCTTAAACCAAATAATACTATTATTACTATAACACAATTTCATGATATATAAATTGCATCAAATAAAAAAAATAAAAATTAAGAATTCCAAGTATGATCAAATTGCCTGCAATGGTATTATTGCATTCAATAAACGTCCCACGATATCCAAGTATAATATAGTTCCTGAAGAGTTAATAAACGTATGTTAGAAATCATTCGTTTGAGTAAGTTTTGAGGAAAATAAGCCTAAAATACAATGCGAATAAATCAAAATTCCTCCCGGTGGTCAGTTTGTGGTATGGATTTAATTTTTATTATTGTTTACATTTAAACCAGGTAAAAGAAAAAAAGCCTGAGGAATAATAATACTTGTAAAAAACTATTTGAATAAAATAAGAATAGAAGAAAAAACGCTACTTCAAACACAATATGAAATAAATGGATAACAAAAATTGAAAAAAAAAGAAAATCAACAGGAATAAACATATTTTCTGTGCATAGCATCTACATAGAGGTTTGTGTCCCATGAACTTCAATCTGATCAGAATATGAAAATGTTGGCATTTTGACATACTATAAATCCATTCTTAGTATATAAGAACATGAGATCCTTGAGTTATCAGACATTTTGGTAGAGTTGGTACTCTCAGCTATTGTTTTCAAAACGTCATACAGATATCACTACAGCAAATATAAGACTGAAACTGAAACATACTAATCTATAAAAATACAATACACACTCTCGTGAAAAGAGCATTTTTTTTTCAATTTGATAAAAATGTAAAACTTATATGCTGTTGAACTTCAAACACACATTATTAAGTCATATTATAATATTGCACACATGTCAGAGCCAATCAAAAAAAGTTTTTAAATACATGTGATAATGCTAAGACTATTGTAAAACGAAGAAGAGAAATAAAGGAAGTGTATTTCCATTAAAAAAAGGTAGAGAATAGGCTTAAAAAGTCATGCAATTAATATGTCATCTCTCCTCAGCTGCTAGTCTCTGTAATTCAGCCTCCTGTGGACTGCCATCACGTGCTATTGCTGTGTTATGTACAGGGTGCAACACGTGTGTGAGATGTGTGCTGGACAAGGCACTGAGTTTACGTTCCCCAAATCGGAGGAAGAGTTGTGGACATTTCCGTTGAATGGAGGCCCTTATGGAATCCCGTAACTTTGGAAAAGAAAATGAAATCAGTAAATAACAATGAAAATCACGTAGAAAAATGATAGCTCAAGTAGGTATATGGAGGTCGTTGATATGGTAGGCCGGGAAGTAGATGGGTCGACATATAAATGTGAATCGGTAGTTAGGAATTTTCAAGATACTACATCAAATTACTAATATACAAAATAAATCTGGTTGCATCAAAAAGAAAAAAAAAGGACATGATACTGATACTTCAGAGATATATATCATCATCTATATCTGTATTTCGTGTTTTGATTGGAATAAACTTTTCAAATTTTACCCTTCCTGGTCACTAGGCTAGAGGATTTTAAAATTGTTTAGAAATTAAATAGAGTATGTGCCTTTGGTATCGGTTGTTTCACGGTGTAGTCTAATAAACTGCAATCAGTAAGACGCAGTGAGAAATTAAAACCGTTATAAAAATGTCCTTAAAATTTAGTCTCAATTGACCTCGTCAGATAAGGGGAAACATGATTCATTTTCTTGATAAACAGACATAGGAGGACAAAACAGGACAGACAAATCATCAATGAAACAATGATAATGAATAAGAAAGTCTGTATAAAAATCTTATCTGACATCTTTAACATCTTGTATTACATTCGGTCTACTGATACTAGACAGCATTTGCCATTTTTCATTACAAAGTCTCTTTGATCGATGAATTAAGCTTTATTTTGAGACAGATAATTGTTATTGTCTCATGGAATCTATAACTAGGGACATGAAACACTTCTTCTGTTGCTTGACTCACACAAAATCCTCATTCGCTTTAGATTTGTTTGAATATTTTGTCTGTTGTCTGTCTGTCTCCTTGAAGTCACGCAACACATTATGTAAATCCTTGCTGTTAAAATATTCTCATGATAATGTGGATGTTATCCACGACTACTAGGTATCTACAACATACAATCTGGAAGCATTTTTATTATTTTAAAAAAATTCTCTCTCACCTCAACTGAATGTAAAAGGGTGAATAAAGAAATTCCCTCAAACTTGTGTTTGTCAATCATAATGTTGAAAATTATTTACTATATATGCCCAATAGATAAAATATATGGATATAATTAACAAATAGTATTTAAGCTCAAAATTCCATTTAGCAATACAAAGTAGGTGCAGAGCAAACACGGACCTCCAAAGCATCAGAGGTAGGATAAGGTACCATAAAAGAGTAAGCATTCCCTGCAAACCGGTCACACCCGCTGTGTGCTCCTTGTCATCATCGTGAAATAACGGGAAAATCCGTCAAATGTTGTGTGTAAATAATACATGTAGCCTAACAATAAGTTGAAAAACGTCAGTCAGCATTTGGCTCAATGATAAATTGTATTTGCTGCCAAGGTCATTGAAAGGACCATAGAGCTTGAAATGAAGACTTTAAACGAGACTGTTCTTGCATATCTTATTTAATTTTACCTTCATTAAGTCAAGATATCAAGTTAATCGTTTTATTGTGAAGGATGTCTGATCTGGATCTATTTTTTTGTAATAATTTGAGTCTCAAGATTTATAAAAATGCCTCTTTTAATCGTATACAAGATTGATTTGTACAGGAGAGTTCAAGAACTTGTGCTTACCAACCTTTTTACTGCAGAAAACCCATAAGATGGATACTAAAGAACCCTGTAAAAGAAAAATCTGATCTGTTGAAGCCATTGAACACATGGGTCTAACACGTATAAGCGTAATAATTTCAGGATAATTTTCTTTAACAATGTTGTCAGTTAGTGCCCGATAGATTAAATTTCAATATGATTTTGGCAAAGAAAGATACCCGTGTTGGTTTATGCAACATTGACTCAAAACTTAATAAATAATTCTGCTAATTAAGTTATCTAGATTTCTTACTAGATTGTCAAATTGTTTGAAAGCTGAGATACAGAATTTATACCTGTAATCCTTCTACTATACTGTATACAACAAAGCACCATGTTCCATCGAACACGTGAAGTACCCAGGCCAAAATGAAGTGGAGACCAAATAATGGAATGAGAAAAAAGAGTGCTCGAAGTGGCTTCCTGAAATCGAATCAGTTGGCTGAGTAGTAGAAAGGTTTTTTTTTGCTATTTTACTTTTTTCGATGTTAATGATATATCGGTTGGTTAATAATTAAAAGTTAAAAAAATTAGGTTAAATGAAAGCTTAAAACATTTACAGTGGGTTTAACTTTCAAAAACTTAACTCCTGGATCATGATATACTATGCGTTTTAATGAAAACGTAAGACTTGAAATTGTCAATCTTCAAAGTCATTAGGTTTTGATAAATCAACAGGAGGGATTGATTCATCGGAGTAAGTACTTACGGCGCAGAATGGCAAAAAGGTGGTCGGGATTCATTCATTTTTCGTTCTTTAATTACAATTGTCACCACAATAATGACAAGGAAAATAATGTTACACTACAAATAAAGTAAAACTATTATATCCTAGGAATGTCTCATTTTTGTGTTATGTGATTTAATTTAATTTCTATTCAATGAGTTTACATTTATAAAATGACATTATGCATTTAATAGCATAGATAATGAAAGGCGTTACTCAATTCCCCCATAAATCTGTACCCTTTCAGTAATTTGATATACAGTGAGTTTCAGAACACTTTTCTAATGGGTTTCGATTTCCATATTTCAATATTTTTCGTTTCCCAAACCGCTGGTGTAGGTTTTATGATTTTTTGGGCTTGACATCAACATTTCCAACGATTTGTAATTTAAATTCTAATATTCTCTTGGTTGAAGCGGTCTCATTAAGCCTAAAATATTTCTCTAGACTCTAGATATCTTTTACATGTTTAACGCAATCTGTGTTTTTTTTTACTTAATTGACTCTTTATTTACCAGATCCAACGCTTGTTATCCAAGTCGCGAAAATTTCAGAAATATACCCCGGTCTTCCGTGGTCACTATGAACAGCCTCATAACTTTTACGTTTTAACTGGGCAAAATTGCAAAATGCATTTTGAAGGAAACGTATTTAGTTAAAGAAAAATTCACTCACAAATACAGGTATAACAATTGGTCCTATAATTATGAATTCCAACTCAAGAACTGGATATATCCAGCACCTTAAAACAAATTAAAACGTCAGAATCAAAAGCTCATGGAGACATAATGATGTTTATAATACACTTGAATTACCTATCGACTGTTGAGAAAAAAGATTATCTAAGTATTTGATAACTAAAACTATTTTTTCAGGACTGTAATTTTTGTGATATACGTTGTAGCAGGTTATTGAATAAAAACAACAATTTTTTATCAAATGTGGTTATAAAATGTAATACATTTCAATAAGATACGAAGAAATAACGATATTCACTTGTAGATTTTCGTGAAAAGGATATATTTTGTCCTAAAAAAAAAATAGACAAAAAAAAAAACCAAACAATTACTTACTTAAAATCGTAATCATTGATTCCCGCCCTCAAAGATGCATAAATTGCAATGGGGATTGTGGGAACTCCTAGAGAAAAAAAATATATAATCATTGAGAAATCATCTTTAATATACATATAAATAGAAGTATGTAACTTCTAGTTCATCTTTAATTCGATTTCGAAACATTTCAAAACAATTACAATCTGGATGTATACATGTAAGCACACTGCAGTGAACTACATAACACGGCTAGGCACTACATGTACGTACCCCATCCGATGAAATACATCCATCCCATGCTTATCTCTTTTTGGAAACTTGGAAGCAACGGAACGAGAACATTGAGTCCCTCTACAAACATCCAGAAATAGGTAGTGGATCGAAGATACCTCTGAGTGATATGTAGAATCTTGCAAATGGCCTTTGAGATTAAAATAATAGTAATGAATTTATCACATAAAAAATATTTAACTTCAAGAAAAACTCTAGACAAGGGCAGGTACTGTAAGTGTATTCTTCTTGTAACTTTTCCCTATAGTAGGGCATAATTTCATCTGAAAATACATTATAGCAAAGAACTAATTGAAAATATTTAGAAGGCAAGACTGGAAAAACGTATCAATTGAAAAGTACGAGATACATGAAATATTCCTACTGAAAACTTTTGGAAGAGTCAGTTTGTAAAAAAAAATGATAAAGTACTCAGATGAGTGATGTGGCTTAAAGTTCTCCTTAAATTGTGAAAATTTCTCTGAGCTGACCGGTTGACAGAGGATGTTTACTCCTCCCAGGCATCTGATCCCATCTCTAGAATTTATGGAGTTTAAAGGTTTGTATTGCTTGTAGATTTCTATTCAGACCGATCGCTGTTTGTTATCTTTTACACTTTTCATAAATTTGATTTTCTTATAAAAATATTTTTAAAAATATCAATGTGTCTTTCCTAAAGCAATCATTATTATTATGAATGTTTGGTTTCAATAGTAGAGTTATCTATCTTCGTTAAGGTTATGGTTTGATCAACATACAAGAAATAGAAAAATAAACCTTCCATTGAAAAATGAATCCAAAGACGAAGATTTAATCTTCTAAATAGGAAACTCTTGAATTTTTACAACATTATTTCTATGTTTCTCAAACTATAAACATTGAAAATGGATATTCATGTGGCATAAGATCAATGAATGTAACAATTAAAAGAACCCTAAATATGATGAAACATTTCCTTCTTTATTGATTGTTACATTTTCTCATTTTAAAGATAAGGACTATTCTCTTTCACTTGTAACACATTACAGACGTAAACAATTTTAAAGGCACTGAGTTCATCAATCATGGTAGAAGTCGGTATCTCTTATTTAATTCCCCATTAAGATAGGTAGTTAAAAATATTTAATATGTTTACCATCTTAGACAGAGTTTAACTTGTTTTTTCTAAACTTGTAATTTACATTGACAAGCAATGTGATAACAAAATATGCAAACTAATCTAATTAAGCTATATAGCCCTCCATCAATCTATATAAAACTGCCTTCATTTAATGTACTTGAATGATTAAGCATTTTGACAAAGGTATCAAATGTAGAAGGTTTACCGAATTTAAATCGATTTGACTTGCTCCATTTTGCAATTTGAGGATGTGTTCTTTGGCAATAACTTCGTCCCAAATCAGGGTTACAATGCTAACCAGTATTAGAGAGAGCAGAGAATGCTGGTGAATTCTGTGAATTCTTCGAAGCCTTCTTCTGGAATCCGTGTTGCCTGGGAATCTAGGACAAAGGTTGATTGATTAATTGTTGTATGTCGTATTCAAACTTTCATCCATACCACTTGCTAAATGTTAAGTGTGAAAAATAATATAAACTTAAATGTTTTGAAAAGATTCTGAATGATATTTATAGAATAGTACGTGTTATGATTTGGATCTAGATATGCCGAAATAGTTGTCAGGGTTTGGAATTTGACACCTTGTCTTCTATTAAGCTATAGTGTATGCAATACTCGACACCATTATACGAATAGCTGGGTATTGATTATGTCTGGAGACTGGCAGAAAGCATAACTTTTAATAATATGCTTCTCTATTCAAGATAAAATGTAAATACTAGTAGTCGGTAATGAGATTTTTTTTTTCTTTAAAGAGGCTTATATGCATGAATTTAATAAGAAGCTAATATTGTCAATTGAAATGAAGAGTAACCGTATATTCTTACCTGAAAAGAGTTAAAATTGCTATGGCAGGCAATGTAAATGCTAAGCTTATCAGGTTTGTAGCCAAGGTTACCATGATGTGCTCTTCTATGAAATCTGCTCCGAATACCTTGTATTGTTTGTAAATTATTATTTGAATAAACATGTTACTTAAAAAAGAACTTATTACTCCGAATAAATATTTCAAATTAGTAATGAATATAATACTTTGTTACGATAGTAAAATATTGTTATCAATAAATGATGCAAACTGAATTGACATGCACATTTCTTCCATGTTTACCTTTTTCGGTACTTTGCAAGTTTTATATGCCACAAGCGTGCCGTTTTCAATACCACGCTCTTTCCATTCTCCAATAGGCAAACACTCGGTTGAGAATGTCCCTAAAATAAGATAATTGAAAATTCCTACCCATACCAATTTTATTTTCTTTGCAAAATATATTATTTGATCACAGTCTATTTCAATTTCTTGGATATAAAAATTAAATTCATAGACAATTTTATCTAGGTTAAATTAAATCATCTGAAAGATAAAAAGTATAATTCAAAACAAAATATTATTCGCACTTCCTTTAACATTAAAAGAAAGACGCATCATAATCGTTGAGTGTGTCATTATTAAAAAAAGAAAGCTATTAGGTTAACTCTTAGTCAAAAGTTCCCCGACAGTAACAATTTGTTAAAACAGGGCTTTGACAAAAGTAGAATAAAAAAATTTTTGGTGTAGAGAGAACCATTGAAAGATCCTTGGTAAAAGTATTCTAACTTTTAATTTTTTGTCCATATCCTAACAATTAAACCGAAAGTGTCTAAGGTGATCTTAATCGTTCATATAGAGATTATTTCTTAAACAAGGCAAATTTTTGACAAATAAGTTAATGAAACTAGAATATCAATAGTTTTGAAAAATATCAAAATTTCGTAAATTCTCTGGTTAATACAATGACGTCAGCAAATATAATCAATCATAAAGTAGAATGTTGACTGAGGTTTTCATAAACTTGTTAGGAAATAATGGATGTTCATTCCTCATTGCATCTGATCCCACCGACGATATTGAAAGGGGTCCGTGTTTGCTATGATCCAAAATCGTATTGTTTAGATTAACTTTGGAGCTTAATTACTAAACAGTAACTGCATTTCTCTCTTCATATTCATTGTGACAATGTAAAATACACTTGGAGAAATTTGACATTTTAAGTTTTTAACATATGCTTTACGAAAATTTGACCTTATGTAGTGATCATCCTAAAGATCATCACGATCAAAGAAAAATCCACTGTATTAAGTATGAATAGATTTACTTTGAATAAAAGGGGTATTTTTAGAGAAATTGAGCAATTGTTATCAAGCATTTAAAAAAAAATGCGGTCAATTAGCTTGATATATATGTTACTATCATCTCAGAAATATACTGCTTTACTTTACATAAATGTTAGACTAATTTGTAAAAAAACAGAGGCATTTTTACAGCTGTTATTTTGTCTGATAGAAAACATGTTGTGCACAATATGATTAAGCTACTAATTAGCGAAATTTGGACAGCATTTTCTTCGATATTTAAAAGCAAAATTTTTCATGGCATTATTTTTTTCCCTAGCTCATTAGCTTATACAATATTGTTAAATTTTGTGCTTGTGCTCGACTATTCACCTGAATTTTAAGATACTTTGATAAAATATAAAATAAACCAATCAACATTATACTTTACTTAAAAAAATGCTTATATAGAAATCAACAAAGGTAATTAGCTTTCGATTTTTTAAAAAATGTTTTTTTTTAAATGTTCAAAAAATTAAAAACGGACAGTATGACTTTAAAAAGTTAATAGTAATACACCAATGCCACGGGAGTGATTATATCAACAAAAGATGGCTTTCAAAGATACATTAACAATTAAACACATCATTCTGATTGGCCCATCTAAACAATTACTTGTCGAGCTATGAGTAGATTCATGATGGACCTAAAAAAAAACAGAGTTGTCATTGTTGAATAGCTGCAAAATTAGTAAACGTGAAGTAATTTTTGCTATATGACCATTCTCGAAGAAAATCTCAAACCCTGGATGTTACGAAAAAACACGTAGAGGGCTTCGTGTACCTTCTTACCATACTTTCTTCGTTATTTTCTATGTGCAGGAGTTTCTCAGGATAAGTACATGTACATTTTCACTAAATTGATGTATATAATCAATTAAGTACCATATCTGAAGAAAGAATTCTGTCCGGAGATTCATGAACAACACACTTTAGGAATTAAGTCATTGGCAAATGCTTTTTTTAACCATTCATTCAGTCTTTCTTGACGCATTGCTTTGGAAAAGTAAAAATTATTTTTTGAAAATTTTGCTATTTTTTATTTCTGTTTTGTTCCGAAGCCTGGAAACCAAAGTCTTCAATGGATATAGAAATCACACTGTATGTTCTACGGATCCCTTACAGTCTTCATTTTTATAATCTGTGGGACATTTTGAAAGTAGTATAAAATAGAAAGTAAAAGAAAATTAATTGTTAATGGTCAAAAATGGACAAAGACAAAAGGCAACAGATTTAGGTCACCGTGGTAATTGTATGCTCTCTAGTTTTATCATCATTTTATTATTAAATTAACATCTCCAACAGCAAAATGACATGTTTTCTGAATTAATACACTCTAATATAGCCTAAAGTAATTCACTGATAAACAGCTTTTGTCTAGTTTACTTTCATAAATTGAAGCTAAATTGGGACAAGGCCATTAAAGTCAGACTAAGTTTTAAAGTGTTTGCCGGAAACGCTCCGAATACTGTATACGAAATGCTCATGTTTATAACTCCATTAACAAAATGATGATTCCCTATTCATATATCAGGACAATATTTTGGTGAGAGATATTGTATAATGAAAACGATAAGAATGAAGATCAGCAATTACATCGACAAAAACATAGCCGAGCCTCCATCGAACATCTGTTTTTATAATAAAACAGGATGTTTATTTACATCAATAACAGTATCAATATGCAACTAACAGAAATAAATATTGAAAAATATACTTACTTGAATCATGCGTAGGAATATAATATGAGGGGCATTGCAGGTTGAGAATAGTTCCATTGGGAGTGGCATTCAGACAAGATACCCCGTCCCATGTAATTTGGCAATAAAATTCTTGACCTGTTCCTGACAATTCAGCTGCTTTTTGTCTTTTGCAACAATCTCTGGCTGCACGTGAGCAAGAAATCCATTTCTGACATTCGTTTTCACTTAATCCAGTACATACCATAGATATACTTGTTGCATTGTAAATGTCGGGCACAATGGAATATCCTTCCGGGAAAGCTCCATTCAGGCTATTTGCAACAAATCTGTAATTATTTGCATCAAACACTGGATCCCAAAGAACCACTGATTTATCTCCGAAGAACATTTCTAGAAGTCTGTGACAAAATAAAGCCGTTGTAATATTGTATATCAATTCATTACTCTGGAGACATGACGGCAACATTTTCTGACTGTGACTTTATTATCTAATCCAGAAGATACAAACTTTCCCTTCTTATGCGACGGTGTTATAAGAAAGCATTTTTCATGAACTTCAATACATGCCTTCTATAATAAAACACAGAAATAAATTCCTTTTTTACACAGATCATCGTATGCTCTGTTAGCTAGCGTCCTCACAATCACAAAGGCGTGATATTGTATTTCGTACAATTTAATTTCCAGTATGAATATAATGATATTCTTGTTTGTTACTGCAGTGTTGATAATGTTGTAGAGTAGAAGTAAACATCCACATGTTCCGATGTTATGAAATACCTTTTGTTGAAATTTTGTGAGGTTTTTATTATGTGCCAGCAAAAGATGAACAACAACCTTTGCTTAATGACATAAAGTCAAAACAAGTGATCATAAGCAGATTCCTTGTAATGCTCAATTAAGAATTCTGACTTCTTGAGACTGCACATATGTTTTCATTATTGATAGTTTGTAGTCGCTTTTACGTAACAGTTCAAAAAATTAACTAAACGAAACACTTCGAATTTTGGATTTAAATATTTTGAATGAAATACGTTTATCTATATAAAATATCTTTCACACAGAGAATCACTGATGTAAGAAGATTTTTAAATCAATCGTTTGAATAAAAACGCAACACATAAAACCTTTGCCCTTCAGTGCAAGATAATAGAAATGTGCCCTTATGCATAATTCGAAAATATGCGTTATAGGAAGAAATACGTTGTTTCGATATGCAAGGATTGAATATATTATCGGTATTTATCCTAGGAAGCCTCAGTAAATTCACTGCACTTTATTCAGCTATTGAAAACTTCCCTTCATACAACGCATGATTTAGAATAGTATTACAACAAAAACATTTTTTGCCGATACGGTATGTAGAGCCATGTCAAGTATTTCGATTGTATTTCATTTGGCCTGAAGAGTCAATTGTTTTTGCATTTTGAATCTCCATGAAAAAAAATGAGGACATATCTATGGCACGCCAAATTCACAAAAATGAGCTAAACCTAGTTTCACAATTGATAAACTAGGTTTATCGACTGTAAACTATAGTTTACAAACCGTAAACTATAGTTAACGATTCGTTAAGTATAGTTTTCATCTGTAAAACTATATTTAACGGTTGTTAACTATAGTTTACGAATGCTAATCTAAGTTTATCTGTCTGTAATAAAACGTTAACAATAGATTTTGTTGATAAACATAGATTCACGTCTGTAAACTATAATTTACGATCGTTAACTATAGTTAAGAGTTGTAAACCATAGTTTACAAATCGTGAAACTGTATTTATCAGATAATCTATGTTTTGCGATCGCAAATGATTGTTTTTGGTGTTAAGTATAGTTTACGGGTGTGAAACATAGATTATCGCGTTAACTACGGTTTACAAATGTAATATATAGATTAACGTTGTTAACTATAGTTAACAGTCCGTAAACTATAGTTTACAACCGATAAACCTAGTTTATCGACTGTGAAACTATATGATTAGCTCATTTTTGTGAATTTGGCGTGCTAAACCTAGTTTCACAATTGATAAACTAGGTTTATCGACTGTAAACTATAGTTTACAAACCGTGAACTATAGTTTACAATTCGTTAATTATAGTTTTCATCTGTAAAACTATATTTAACGGTTGTTAACTATAGTTTACGAATGCTAATCTTAGTTTATCTGTCTGTAATAAAGCGTTAACAATAGATTTTGTTGATAAACATAGATTCACGTCTGTAAACTATAATTTACGATCGTTAACTATAGTTAAGAGTTGTAAACCATAGTTTACAAATCGTGAAACTGTATTTATCAAATAATCTATGTTTTGCGATCGCAAATGATTGTTGTTAAGTATGATTTACGGTGTGAAACATAGATTATCGCGTTAACTATGATTTACAGATGTAAAATATATATTAACGTTGTTAACTATAGTTTACAGTCCGTAAACTATAGTTTACAACCGATAAACCTAGTTTATCGACTGTGAAACTATGTTTTGCTCATTTTTGTGAATTTGGCGTGCCATACATATCATTTAGAGCAGACAAAAAAATTTAAAATAGAAGGTCTCGTACTTGAGTATAAATTGTACAATGGCTATGTCAATTAAAAATATTACTGCATCTAAGTTCAATTTAGCAGGTTAATGTTTTGGTTTATGTAAAACTTATTTTAGTTAGCTACCAAAATTGCTTTGAAGATTTCCAAAGATTTCAAACAATATGTTTTATTAGTTACTTGTATATAGTGGATTAAAATATTTATTATGAATAAATGGCAAGATAGCGTTTCATTTCATTTAATGCAAAAGCCCATGAATTAGTTTACATATTATAAATAATTTCGTATTCGAATATCAATACAAATGTTAGCAAGAATTTTAATGTAACCTGAATCCCTGAAGGAAAAAAAGACAGACAAAAAATTTAGTAACATCACATCTGTGTGCCTGGAGCATACAGGATGTGACCAATAATGTCAAACAAAATTGCAATTTTTAAGAATCATTTTGTACATTATTGATTGGAGCATAGTAATCTCCTGCATGTTTCTAAATTTGGTTTTAGTACATTTTATGACAAAAATGTCTCTTAATTCGCTTTCAGATAAAACTTACTGACGGTAAAATAACGCTATCACTGAGACCATTATTGATAACTTTTTGTAAAAAATGTAATTTTTGTTGTAAAGCTTCTCTGAAAATGCAGCGTGGAACTTTGATTCAAATACTATATTGATTTCCATCTTTAAGCATTATCCCCAGAATAACAAACTCTAAGAAAATATAACTGGGGTACATGTACATAGGCCTCCTGAGTAAGAACCTTTAGATTTTACAGTGGGGATGTTTTAGATTTTCATAGCATTGATTTCAACTAAACTTTCCATACAACTTGAAAATAAGAAAGAATCAAAGCCAGAGAGTACTGTAAATAATGATAGCGCGTCCTCTCAAATCTGTCATCAATATTTCTGTCCAAATTGCGATATTTCTTTATTCGAATTTTTCACTTTGGGTGATTGTTTTCCATGGGCTCAAGTCTAAGTGATTCTACTCTCCAGGCCTGAGTATGGTTTCAGATATGAGATTATGCTATTGTATAAATTAGTTTGTTCACGTTTAGCGGACTGGTAGTCATTATTCCAGACAACCATTTTAAATTTAAAATACCATTTCCAAAACTTCATGAAAGTCCAACAAAGACACATATATAATAGGATTCCAGTACCTAGTAAGTGTTCTACAAAGTTCCTATCTTTATTAAGTTCGAAATATCTGATGTTTTCCAGGCGTTTTCCCCACAGTTTTGATACTCGTATTTGACGTTCTAGGAAAACGTTAAAAATGTGCGTCATGTTGAAAAGTTGAAATATTGCCGCCTAAAAGTAAACTCGATTTTAATTCTTGCAAATCGATTGAAATGGATGCTTACTGCTTCTAGGCACCTGTTCCTACCTCTGGGATTTCTGGAGGTCCAAGCTTATGCCCTGTTTGTAGAATTGTATTGTTTGAAGATTTAAAGAAATCGTTATCTGTTTCATTGACAACAATTCACATTTTTATTAGTGAAAATTCTGTATGCTCTGAAGAATATTTTCCTGCCATTTAAAGAAAGTTTCTTCATATAATTTTTTGCTCATTTTTAAAACATTGAATACAGAATACCTTTAGATATAATTTTCATTAGAAACGAGTAAGAATGGTACGTCAAAAAGCTATTAAAATATTAGCAACATCATAGAGTCAAGTCGCTCTTATTTGACAGAGAAAAAGATTGATAACATTAGCCAAAGATTGAGCCTGGTTACATGACTACACGAAGAATGACTACTGCATTACGTACAAATTATGATAATAATATGAGTACAATAATGTTGTAATTATGTTAATATTTAATGTGAGAAAATTGCGGAAACCTTTCCCTGTATAATTTGAGGTACTTATTATTGGACCCTGCATGACCCCTTTTTTTCGTCTATGAAGTGTTTGTGCCTTTAACTTGAATGTACTAAACTATAATGTGCTGCATCTTAATTTTACAGTGTATGTCTTTTCAAACGAAGATATATCGCATCAAAAACCCTATTCTTTATAATTTAAAAAAACATATAATGTTTGGTCTATGTTTTGTAAGTTGGTTCCATTATATTGTGATACGGCCAATTCATATCAAGGACTTGGCATTGAAAAGACAGATTTAAAATTTTTAAATGAATATTTTTGTAAATACATGTATGATGAGGTTAAAATTTATCCAACAACTTAAGTATTTTGTTAAAAAAAATATTTCTTTTTACTCCTAGGAAAAGTGAAAAGGTTATTTGCTGACATTTACTACTGATTTGTTTGCATCAGTAGTGAATGTCAGCAAATAACTTTTTCACTTCAAAATATTGTAAAATGTTTGCTTGAATAAAGAGTCCCAGAGGATTTCATTTAAAACAACAATGGATCATTTTTGTTTCCTTTCATTTCAGAAATCGGGATATTCAGAATATTCCTATAAGACGAATGATGTAATCTTATGAAAAAATGCTATCAAAAAGTCCCCTTATCTAGTTAGAGGTATATGGAAAAAGAAGGCTTCATCTTACGTGTTGGATAAACTGTTTTTTAAAAAGATTTTTCAAACATATAAAGATTAGAATAGATTCGATCAAAAATAAATACATCATTCAATGTTATGCGAAAAAATATACCAAAAGATAATTTTTAATCAGAAATTGATAGTGATGTATGTTTGTTATCTATTTCTGTGCAGAAAGTGTGGCGTGCAACACTCTGATAAAACGAAACAAGCATTTTGAGATGAGGCTAGCCCAAGTTCAAAAATAACAAACAACTTGTAAACTTATAGCTTCATATACTGTTTGTTTTATAAAAAAAAATATATATGATCACAATATCAAAATTTTTTATTAATTAACTCAATTGTTCATACTTTATATATGTTAGTCATTTTGGTTTTAACAAAATAAGATGATCATAAAATTTATATGTATCTGTATCTTAAATAACGAATGTGTTGCCAGGAACAAACGGAAGGGAAGATAATCCACATAAACGCAAACTAGAGAGAAGATTTGATGGCTTACCGCTCATGAAAACGAAGGAAGGTAACTTGAACGTACGTGTACGATGATGAATGGTGATAAAAATCGTTAAAAAGCATTTTTTGAAATGTATTTTTAAAAAGAGTAAAGGCAGCAATTTTTAAGTGACAAAGACTAAAATATTGATTTTTTCACTTCAAGAAAATTGTTTAAAAATATATTATTGAATGCAAAATTTTATGTCTATGTTTCTAGGTCCTAGGGAAAACATCAGTACATGCACATGTATAAATGATAGGTCTCAATTGCAAAAGAAATTAAACTGCCTAAAA